TCGGGAGGTCCGCAAGACGGAAAGACCTCAAGTCGGAAGGTCTTCAGGTCGGGAGGTCCGCAAGACGGAAGGACGATGAGTCGGAAGGTTTTCAAGTCGGGAGGTCCTCGAGACGGAAAGTCGTCAAGATGGGATATCCGCAGGTCGGGTAAACTGTAGGTCGGATAGAAGGAGGAGTCGGACAAACGCGGAGGCCTTTGATCAAAGACAGGGGGCGGTTGATATGGAGGTCGGCCCAAGTAGGGTCGGGCGAAGAAGTAGGTCGGACGAAGGACGAAGTCGGGCCAAAAGAGCGGAAGGTCTGTGGTCGGCTCAAGGAGTGAAATATAGGGAATTTTGGTCTGCTGGGGACACGTGTCAGCATGAGAAAGGTTGGAAGACGGTTGAGAAGGAGACGTTGTAACCGTTCGGGTGACGGTTTTCAGTACGGTTTCCCAGGGAATATTTAAGGATTTGGATCATCATTTGGCAAGGTATCTTCAATCAACTTCAACAAAGCAAAGTCAGATTTGGGGATCACCACTTTAAATTTCAGTCTTTTATTTTCCAGTTTATTTTCTGTACCATACAGTGTTTAGAGATTCCTAATCTCAGGCACTAATTAATCAAGTTTAAGGATATTTTCTATATCTTTGAATTTTACTTTATTTTTGTTGAAAAATTACATCAACAGGGATGATATGAGTAATCAACTGATATTAGGTCTAGAAATGATCGAAGAATCGAAAAATAAGATTTGAGTTATCGGAGAGAAGATGAAGACAACTCAAGATAGCCAAAAAAATTATGCCAATAAAGCCCGACGTGAAAGTCAATTTCAAAGTGGAGATTTCGTCCTGGTGAAAGTATCTCCAATGAAAAGTATTAGAATGTTTGTAATTAAAGGAAAATTGAGTCCGCGTTATGTTGGACCCTATGAAATCATCGATCGAGTTGGAGATTGGGCTTATCGGTTAGCACTTCCAAACTCTATGGAACAAATTCATAATGTTTTCCATGTATCACAACTTCGTAGGTATATCGCAGATCCTTCTCATATTTTATCTCTGGATGAACTAGAACTAAATAAGGATCTTTTGTATGATGAAAGACCTCTTTGGATCATGGACACAAAGGTTGAAACCATGAGGAACCGAGATATTCGTATAGTGAAAGTAATATGGTCCCGACATAGAGCGGAAGAGGCCACGTGGGAAGTAAAACAAGAGATGTTCAAAGTATACCCACATTTGTTTAATTAAATAGGGTTGGTATGCGTTTGAGTTTAGATTTCGGGGACGAAAACTTTTTAAGGGGAAGTGAATTATAATGTCCCAATTTCGGAGTGTATAAAATAATATTATTATAACAAATAAATATTTTTATAATATTTTGGGATCAAAAATTAATATTCTGAATTAAATTTTATATTTATTTTATATACTGATTATAATTGAAAAGATAAAGATAAATATAAATTATAATATATATATATATTATAATATAATAATAAATATACAGGGCTAAATTGAAATGATGATGATGAAAATCTTAATAAAAATAATAATAACGTTTAATAATAATAATAATAATAATAATAATAATAATATAATATATATATATATTAAATAAAGAAAAAAACAAAACCTACCTTACCTTCAAAGCAAACGTAGAGAAGAAAATAGAAGAAAAAAAGAAGAAGAAAAAAACAAAGAAAAAGATTTAACTGTTCGATTTTAATTCCGGATTTGGTATTGTATTCTTTGCTATACGTAGAGTTTAATTATAAATTTTAATATGAATTTAGATATTGGGATATTATTAAAAATTCTTCAAAAATTCATAACTGGCTATTTGGCTATTTAATTGACTAATTTCTTTAGCTAATAGTTTATTCGTAGTCCTAGCGTTATATTTTGAAAATTTTGTATCGATCCGAGCCGAATTGAAATTGGCAGTCTATTGCACCTTCCTGATTATTCATATCTTTAAATATTATATTTAATAATCGGGCGATGTAAATATTATGAGGTATAAGCGTTTTACAGCTAAAATATCATTTTCTACTAAATATAAAAGTTTGAAGTACAATGAGCTAGAAATTAGCTTTTGAATAAGCATGCAGCTCATTTGATTTGAAAAAATAATGGGATAGGTGTACGTTTGAGGAGATTTGGGTGAGATTGCAAAAGTTAGGGAGCGTCGATAAGAGGTAAGTAATACGGGATTAAATCTAATTTTAAGAAATTAGGTATGCATGTTGTATACGATTCTGATTAATATGTTAATGTGATATTATGTGGATTATTCTGCCAGTGCATGTATATATTTATATATGTGTGCGTATGCATGTGTAAGACTTCTCATATTATGATATTTGATATACGTATTTGATTGCGTTGGTGAATTTATGAAAAGGAAGATAGGTGAGCTGTCTCACCAGCCATTTTCAATAAATTCACTTATTTGACATGTTGGACACATATTGCACAGTTTATTGGTTATGTTTTATGAATCTATCGTTTAGTCGCCGTGTGCGATAGTGCTAGACAACGGCATCGTCTAGGGTTAGGATATTCGACCCCGATGTGCAGTAACACTTTGACGATAGTGGACGATAGTAGTCAGACAACTTGGTGACTTAGTCGCACGGTCATTTAGGGATTAGACCCATTGTAGTTGAGACGTATTTGGTCTAATCATTCGTGTTCGGCGTTGTTCCACTCATTGGAGTAGCTACTAGTGAGGTCTACTAGTAGTTTAGGATCATATGCAAAACTCCAAACGTGATCCCGTTAAGGCGCGCGAGGAGGAGTAGAGTTTCCGGGTTTTTCTTGGGTGACTCCAGGTTGTACGGATTCTACTGCATTATACAAGATAGGGCTAGTCAGTAGGGGTTCTATCTTCGCTATCACAGGCTATGGGACATCTTGTGGTTAGGCGATAACATTCGGCTATCCATGTATTAATTGTGGGAGTCGTATGGTGGGTATATGGAAGTGACTGGATGACCATTATATTATTATGGATTTATCAGGTCCTTCCTTGAGCCGAGGATTTTCCAACTATTTATTGATGATGGTCTAGTGAGCTTGTTATTATGGGCCGAGGTTATTCCGACTGCTCACTTAGACAAATGCAATGAGCTTATTATTATGGAGCCAAGGTTTTTTCGGCTGCTCACTTCGACGGATGTGTATATATATGTTCATGTGCATTGTTGTCGAGTTTGATCTCTTTATTGCATCATTTCACTATAGGAATGGCATGACACGCATTTTATGATTGAAGGAGATTAGACTTTATTTTAAAAGGTATGAAATGACATATTTCACGTTAGTCCTTAAAATTGATTTAATTATAGACTTCTTTTGATAAAAACATTTGGTTCAGGTATGCATGACACCTCTGGAACAAGAGACGTCTCGGGATATAGAAAAGACGGGTTGAGTGGGTGAACATACATCTATTGTATTATATGTAAATTTCTAACCGGAAAAACCTCTTGTTTAGGAGTTTGTTTTGTAAATATTCATCCTCACACCACAAAGCCATCCCTTACGCGACCATCCACATTGATCATTTCCTCCTATTCACTATTTGGACTTCTCGATCCAATGCAAAAAATGATTTATCTTACCTAAACTTCCATTGGGCTTCATTCTTTTTATCATTTTCAATTTTTTTTCGGACACATTGTAACAAAGAAAGCCTCCAAGATGTCTCCCGCGACAAGCCTATTCTAGAACGATGGACTTGTTGACCCAAAAAATTGGCTTTTCACACTTCTTCTTGGATTTTTGGGACCTCAAAAAGTACTTCTTGCAAAGTTACCTCCCACCTAGTTGGCTTCCTTCTTGCCTCCTCCGACCAAAATTTTCCTCATACTTCAAATTTGATTCATTGTCTTTAGGCCGGTGATAATAGTTTTGCTGCAGCTGGTCCGAATCTCTCATTCTTGGTGTTCATTCGCCTGATTTTAGAGGTGCTCAACTCTAAGCCTAACAAAGGATTTGCTCGCAGCTCTATGAGCATAATTATTTATTTCCTTTGTTTGTTTTGTATTTTACATACATTCTCATTTATCTTCAGAATGTGCCTTGATGCGTTTGTGAGTATTGCAAGTTATTTCAATCCTTTCGAGGTGGTTGAGGAGGGGTCCGAAAACTCAACATTACCACTAATCTTTTTACAGTTTAATTCTGTGAAAATATTTTATGGAAACGAAAAAATTGCATTAGATTGATAATCAAAATAAGAGCCCTATTCACAAAACAAACTACATAGATTCAAATCTGAATAATGTAATATTTGAATAAGTTCAAATCTATATATAAATGTATTAAATCTAAAACTAAATATCTAAAATATCTCAATATTTCCCGTCAAACTCAATTGGTGTAACAAAAACAAACTTGAGTTTGCAAAGAGAGATCGAAGATAAAGCAGCTACAATTGTCCATCATGCTAGAATCAGAAGCAATGCTCCCAACTGAATTAGAGTCGGAAACACAAAACTCTCACTAAAGCATGAAAACACGGAATCGGAAAATACAAAATTCTCACCAGAGCCAGAAAATATCGAACTGAAAAATACAAAACTCTCACTAGAGCAGAAAAGTACGGAACTGAAAACACAAAACTCTCACGAGAGCCAAAAAAATATAGAACTAAAAAATACGGAACTCTCATCGGAGTCTGGAAAACACAAAACTCTCACCAGAACAGGGAAAACAACAAGACTCTCAATGCATTCCGAAACAACGCTTTGTATTGAACTATGACAAACAATCAGATGCCGAACTTGGATACAAACTTGAAAAATAAACTTGACTTACGATCAATTGTAGGTGAATCTCAAAATTAAAGAATCTCAAATTTGGGAAACCTCCGGGTACATTCCTAGTTTAATGTACCTGGAGAAGCGTGAGTTAGTAGACTATATCTACTGAAGGAGAAAACTGGAAAACTACGTTACTCGAATCTAAATTTACAACTGAATATCTAAAAATTTCAACAAATTCAAACATGTATGGATTCATATATACATGTAATATTATACATTCTCCCAAAATTAAACCTAGAACTCGTGTGCTGCTAATTAACTAAATCTTATGTGTTTTCTTGTGTCGTTTCTACAAAATGAGGCGGCACAGAAGCTGCTGCTGCATATATATCATGATATGACAGGTGAGTTTGGGCTCCTGTTCCTGTTCCTGGTCCAACTACCCTTAGGCTTGGTGAGCGAAAGGATGGTGGAGACCATGAGCTTGCAGTCGATGGGCTTTGTAAGATAGGCATCCATTCCCACTTGTAGGCATTTGGCTTCATCGCAGGACATTGCATGAGCCGTCAACGCCACTATCGGGATGTGCAACCCGCTACCCGCCTCTGATTTTCGTATGGCTTTTGTCGCCTCATAGCCGTCCATCTTAGGCATCTGCATCAGTAGTAGTAGTTGTTGGATGGAAGATGATGATGATGATGATGATGATGATGATGATGATAATCCTTTCTCATAGGTATATAGTTCATCAAAGAGGCTGTGTATGTATGTATACATGTATACTTACTTGGCAATCCATAAGGATCAAGTCATATGGCAATGGTAAATCATTCTCGAATTCGGGCGCCGGCGGATGAATCTTATCCTTGAGAGCGTCGACGGCTTGGACCCCATCGCTCACTACAAACACCTTGGCTCCCATTTTCTCGAGCATTATCGTCGCGACTCTCTGAAGCACCGGTGTATCCTCTGCAAGAAGTATACTCAACCCCTTAAGACTCTTTTGTCCGTAAATAGCAGACTCACTATTTTGTTTTTGATCTCCATGATTGTTCCCCAGACTCCGGCGTTGTTCCTCATTACTGTCATTGACTACTGGACCCATGTTCAAGACTTTGCCGCTCTTCTCTCCAGCATCATCACATTCTCTTTCCATCTCCCCATGATTGGTTTCAATAACCTGACGCAGCTTCTCATCTCGGGCAGGAGTTTGAAACCCGCTCAGGCCATTCCCCACATTTGAGCTTCGTCCTGTTACAACAGCTTCAAAAATCTGAATCAATTTTGCCTTGTAAAGAGGCCGATTGACCATCATCCAATGGCCTCGTCTGCGAAGCTCAGCCTTGACAACATTGGACGTGTCGTGGTTCAAAATCCAAGCAAAATTGGCTCTCCCACCATGCTTGTCGAGGAATTCCATCTGCTGTATCCATGCATCAGTACTGAGTTCAAGCAAGACAATATCGACAATTATGACATAGACTGAAGCAGCAGTGTCCTCTGTATTCGGTTCTTGAGTTTCCCCATGTCCGGGAGGAGAATTCGAGGTGTTTATGAAGAGTTCCTCCAGGCTCAAAGTCAACTCATTCCAGTTGGATGCTTCGATGGTAGACACCCGCTTCTTTTTTAACCACTGCGCCATTATTCGCCTAGTCATTCTCCCGTTAATTGCAAGCACAACCTGTTTCCATCCCCAGAAGGTCAGTACTCTTCGGTGAAGCTTATGGATTTGAACAAGATATGCAAATCTATAGGATTTTTACGTAAACGGGAATTGAAGAGCATAAAAAGTAGGCTCTCACTCGCAGGTTTTGATCTTCTAAGCATAACTGCAATTGCGGCTTAATGCTATCCATCGGAGTGTTAAGAACAAGGTACAGTTGCATCAAAGTTCCCGGTCCATTCTTCTTTACCACTTTGATTTCTCCTTTCATTTTGTTGACCTGTTAGGATTGTTTCGTCATTGTGTGCCAAAGCATTCTACCTGTTTATACACAAATATCAACTCACCAAAGTTCGCACAATGCACAGGCCTAACCCAGTGCCACCATGTCTGTAAATCGAACATATGCACAAATATGATCAAAAGTTGTAAACATGATGATATAGATCTAACTAGTTTAGGGAAAAATATATAAGTAGCTTACAGTCGAGTAGTCGATGGATCCGCCTGTTCAAAACTTTCGAATACCGATTCCCATTTGCTTGGATCAATCCCTGAGGTAAAAATTTTAAAAGTAAGATTATGATCAAGAAAGAATAAGTATATATATGAAAACCAGGCAGAGATGCATCATCTCAGAGATTGTACCACAGCCAGTGTCCTCAACTTCGAACCAAAGTATCATTTTGCTTTCTTTCCGGAAGAATGTCCCTCCATAGCTCAAGTCACGCTTTCGCTTCAATTTTTGTGCACACCAAGACTCCTTCAAGGTGAAGGATAAATTGTTCGTCTTGCTATACTTTTCTGTGTTCTCGCACCATCCACGCAGAATGATGTGTCCAGCTGACAGAAGCCAACAACCTTAAATTCCTCATCCATGTTGTTTGCAGTGATAGAAGTATCCATGTTCTTTCGAACACAGTGAAGTAGACATAAAAATCTATATACCAGGAAATTAAGAGGGCTTACACGTCGTAAACTTGATTGAATTGCTGATAAGATTAGCGAAAATCTGAAGCACTCGACCCGAATCTCCTTGAACTGCTTTAGGCATATCATCTGCAACGACGAAGATTACTATTAGGACATTGCATAAATATATTTACAGGGAGAATGAATGCTGCAAACATACCAGACAGGTCGAGAACAGTCTCAACGTTGTGGTTTATACACTGGACAGAGAACATATCGATTAAGCCTTCAAGCTCTCTTCCTAAGTCGAACTCATTATCTTCCAGCACCAGTTTTCCTGACTCAACCTGACAAGATTTCAATTTCCTGAATGGCCACTAGAATTCTATGGAAACAAATGCAATGAGTGACTGCCTTAGCTTCTTACCTTGCTAATATCCAGAATGTTGTTGAGAAGTCGGAGCAAAGCAGTGGAGCATTTACGGATTTGTGTGATCATGGCGTGCTGTTCATTCGTTAAGCAGTTATCACTCAAAAGGATATCGAGCAACCCTATCACTGCAGCCATAGGTGTCCTAAGTTCGTGACTGTGAGACAATAACAGACAAGCTAAGCAACAACCTCATTTGCAATCCAATATAACATATAAATTTTAAGATTTGAATGCTCACCTCATGTTTGCTAGAAACTGGCTTTTGTAGTTGCTCGATGCCTCTGCCTTCCTTCTTGCATCCAAATGGCTTATGAGCTCCGCCCGTAGCTTCATCTCCTTTGACACTCCATTCGTTAGAATGAAGATGCAGAAGCATCCCACAAACAAGATGCACACCGAAGCTGATATCAGTATCATCAAGGTTTTGAACGCTTTCTCGTCCACTTTTCCCATTATATATTCCCTCGGTATGATGATCACCCCGACCTAGAAAATGTTTCTTGTCCGTCATCAACGAGACAACACTACCAAAACTGATTGGAAACTTATAAAATAACATGTCCTTGTATCAACCTAAACTTTTAGAGGAGATGGTAAAACACAAATATCTCAACTCTGCATCTAAATTGCAATTTTGCAATACTTTGGTACTAAATAAAATATTAAACTCCATATCTTGCTATATTACTTAAACTTTCAGAAAAGTCTTACCATTGGAAGCCTCTTCAAGTTTAGGAAGAAAGAATCCATGTAATAGAGTCGGTTCCTCAGCCGAGCATTCTCTATATGCATGTCTACGCTCGGAGGAAGTTTATTACCATATGTCTTTTGCAAGTACTTAGCCCCACAACGTATAACGTCATCCTTGGAATCGACTGCCATCATTAGCTTAAGACCTTTTGTTGAATTCTTCAAAAGAGGAGTATCCGTCGATGTGGCGAGCAGCCAGCCCTCTTGAGAGGTTAAATATATGTGTCCACTGTGGAATTCGACAAGTTCCTTCATCAACTGCCCAACACTGTAGAGCGCAGTTGTAACTCCAACCACAGCAACGATGCTGTTATGGGATGTATCCCAAACAGGCAATGCTGCTGAAAGCAGGGGCGAATCCGTATACTTGCTCACAGCTATGTGCCACGAAGCTGTGCCATCAGGCACTTGCGAAATGCCGGCAATGTTGATCAGCTCGTCCGGTGGAATTCGCTTCGCTTTCCCAACTCTCTCCCCGGTTAAAGGATCGAGAGTCTCTTGGTACCAAACAGCAGACATGTTGCTATGTATCGATTGGTCGTCCCATCCTTGATGTGTAGACAGCAAATTGACGCCGTACGAGCCGCCTATGGAGTAATTGGTGAGGTCAGAGTATATGTAGTAGGTGGTGTTCTTTCCATGGTTCCGGTGGAAAGCCTGGACGAATCCGTTCCTGTAGTTGAGAGTTAGGGAGTTAAGATCCTTTCGGCTTGCGAACATCGCCCATGTTACGTCCCTCATCATTTGGTAGAGCTGCTGAGAGGCAAACAAAAGACACAAAAACAGGCAGGGAAATTACAGTTAGTGTTGATTGAGCGAAGCTACTAAATTTTGCCACAGAATCACAAACAAACAAATAATCAACCATTGCAGATCATATCGACAACCTCAACTTGCTCCGCCTGAGTGGCCGGGTTGTTGTAGCGCCTGATAACCGACTCGGAGAGCTTGACCTGAGCAGCGGCAACTTCAACGGTGGAGTTCAGGATTCCCCACATGCGCAGGATGGGCCGCTGGAGAAGCTCGTGCCGGAGACCGTAGGCTAAAGTGTTGAGCGACTTGGTAGTGTAGACTCTCGTAATATGCCAAGTCAGTAATGTCAACAAACCTATCAGAATCGCCAGCATAATCTGCAGCAGAAAACTTAACCGATCAAGGAGCAAATACACCACAGAAGAGAAGAGATTGATGCGAACATAACTGTGATTACCATGATGGCGAGGCGAACGACGAAGACACTGTAGTAGGAGGAGGAAAGGCAGAAGGAGCTGCTGTCGTGTTGAATCTCATTGCTAGGATCTCCTTCGACATCTCTCTGGAAGTTCGGCCTCCGACTGCCCGGCGGAGCAGTGATTCGGCGCTTGCAACTGGTGAGGTGACGAGAAATTCTTCTCGTGATGGAAGCCATTAATGAAGAAGGAAGCAATTTGAGCAAGAACCAGGGAGAAGGGGTCAATTAATGGAGGTGGAGCAGAAGAGAAGAGTAAGGGCAAGCAAAATTGTTGGTGAAATTCAAAGAGGGAAGATATGGAAGATGATCAAGAGGCATAATATTGAGCGAGTGGGGAAAATGAGAGAGGAATTGAGGGTACATCAATCGGATCGGCGTCGATTCCCACTGGACTGGGAGGAAGGAATCGGAATTGGAATTGGAATTTGGAGTGGAGGGAGGATGGAGAAGAGGCAAGTGCAAGTGCAAGTGCAAGTGCAAGTGGGGCAGTGCGCAGTGGGTTGTGGTGTTCAGTGTTCTTCACTACATTCACATTCACTTCGCATTCACATGTCCCTTGTTCATGTCATCCCAAAATTTCACCACATAAATGATTTTACTACTCCATTACCACTGCTACTGCTACTGCTACTGCTACTGCATTCCACCAACTTAAGTTCCTTATGTTCTTGACCACCATGGCCATCGCCTTAATCCTGCTTTGCGCAAACCATTTAAGCAGCGGATTATGTTTTAACGTAGAAAGTGTTCGACAATTAGCTTATAGCTAACAGTTAGTTGATACAATTAATTATTTTTATTAAAATATTTAGTAAAATAATTGTTTGATATTAGGTGTTTATACTAAAATGACAATTAAGGATTTATTTATTTTATTTTTTTCTAATATACTCAATAGAATGTCTGAAATTTTTTGTTATTAGTTATTAAAAATTGTAAAAGTATTATAAAATAGTATTTATTTTTAATATAGTTAGATTTTAAAAATAATATATTTTTATTGAAAAATATAAATAATTTTTCTATTGAAAATAATGTAAAATATAAAATAGGTAAATTTTTTGTGTATATATATTTATTATGTTAATTATCGATTAGTTCATTATATTTATAATTTTCAATAAATTTAATTTATTTTTTTAGTATAAAATTTATATAATGTAATTTCAATATAAAAAATAAATTATTAATATTTATATTTTTTATTTTTGTGTTGAGTTTAATAAATTTATATATTTTACAATTAAAATAATTTTTATATAAAAATTAATTATTATAAATTTATAAAAGTAAAACTATAATATAATAAAATACTCTAATATAATTAATAAAAAATCAAAATATATTTATTTGTGTAAAATGCATAATAAATTTTTAATGGCAAATAAGGAATAAAATTTTTTGAACTGAATAAACTATTTCAAAACTTTTTTTTTTTTCAAAAAATTATTCCAAAAAGCTAATTTACCAAACATCCTGTTTTATATAATGAAAATAAGATAGTAGTAGTAGAATAATATAAATATATTTTTTGAAAAATATTAATTCTAACAATTATTTTATCTTAGAAATTAAAAATGAAAAGAAAAAAAAAAGAAAAAGAAAGAGACAAGCACATTATTCTTTTGTGAAAAGAAGTATTACACTTATTCAGGGCGTTTACTTGTTATTTTAATAATTTTTTTTAGCATTTAATTCAGTGCATTTTTACCTGTGACTTCTATAATTTTTTTTTAGCATTTAATGTTGTTGGATAATCGATTAATGGTTTTGATCGATATAATTTAAGTTTGAAAAAATAAATTTCAAAATTTCAAAATCGATTAATCCGTGAGTATAATACGACATGCCCATAAATTAAATCTATTGGATTAATTTGAATTAAGTATATATTGAATATGATGATTGATTAATACTTAACTAATTTTGCATATTTCAAAGCTAAACTCAAATATATAACCAAGTGGCACGATTATGAGGATAAAATTATGTCCTATGGATTATCTACGGTAGATATATTCATTACAAATTCAAATGGAAAATCTAAAATTATTGTGAATCACGGTCATCTCAAATAGCAAATGAAATTAATGTAAATTACGATCATCAATCAATCGTATTGGTAATTAAGATTATTATTGTGCCACTAATTACTTTTCTATTGTATTGATCAAGTTGAAGTCGCTTGTAGGTCATCTTTTTTTTTTTTTTTAAATCGGTGTGTTTGTGTACGTTTTAGTTTTTGGGTTTGGATTTTTAAATATTAAAAAGTTGAATTTGAATAGTTGTTTGATGGATATAAATAGAGGTTGATGGGATATTTTGAATGTAAAATAAATTTGTAGTATAATATAAAAAAGAAAAATTAGTGTTTGATATGATATTTTTGGAAGGAAAAAAGAATGTTAATACTAAAACTCACAAACGAATACAACCAACAAGCCTTTTCAGATTAACTGACAACACCTTTGATATATCTGAATTTCTTCCATGTTTGTTAGTAGACAATTTAAAAAATATATATATATATACTAGTGATAGTACTTTTTTTTTTTTCTGATAAAATTTTTTTTGTGATTTATTTTTTCTAATATTAATTTGTTGTATAAATTGATTAGTCTGTTCATATTTTCCGCTTTTTATTTCTTAGAAGATAAAAGATAATATAAATATATTTTAGGAAGAAAATGAGAAAAAAAAAATGTTTACAGAATTATTCTTACGAGAGAAAGTGAATGAGGAGATAAATAAGAAAAGATAATATAAATAAATTTTATGTACAAAAAGAGAAAAAAAAAAAAGTTCGATCGAATTACTCTTATGAGAGAGGAAGAGAACGTGAGAAATAGAGAAAGGGAGAAAAGACAATATAAATATATTTTAGGGAGAAAATGAAAAAAATGTTGCCCGAATTAGTCTTATAAGAGAAAAAATTATGGAAGAGAGAAGAGAGAAAATGAAGAAAAAAAAATGGCTGACCGAATTGGTTGTACGAAAGAAGGAGATAATGAAATAGAATGAATTATATAAATATTTTCTTTTATAACTGTGTAACCAATCAATTTTTTTAAAAAAAAATTATTTATTTTTTTAAAATATTTTTTTATATTATAATTTTTTTAGTTTATTTAAATTTTGTATTATTAAAAAAACTATTTTCTACAAAATGATATATATTGATATGTTGTAAATTTTTAATTAAATTTTAAAAATTATGGATATATAAATTTAAATAAATAATATGAATATATATATTTTGAAACAAAATGTAAATGGTTGGCTAACTGTGCGTGCAATCAACCAATTTTGAAAAATCTAATTTTTTTTTTTTCAAAATACTTTTTTATCTCATACTTTTTTTTGTAGTATTAAAAAAATAATTTTCTACAAAATGATGTAAATATTGATATATTTTAAATTTCAAATTAAAATTTAAAATTACAAATATAAATATATAATTTAAATAAATAAAGAATATAAATATAGATATTTTGAAGTAAAAAGGAAGTGACTGACCGAATTGATCGGATGGAAAAATGAGAGAAAGAAAAAGAATGAATTGTATAAATATATATATTAACTGTGCAACCAACCAATTTTAAAAAAAAAACTAATTTTCTTTTTTCAAAATATTTTTTAATTATACTTTTTTTAGTTTATATTTTATATATTATTAAAAAATTATTTTCTACAAAATTAGATATTGATATATTTTAAATTTCCAATTAAATTTTAAAAATCACATTATATGAATATAAATATATAAATTTAAATAAATAAAGAAATATAAATTTAGATATTTTAAAGAAAATGAAAGTGGTTGACCGAATTGGTCAGATGGAAGAAGGAGAGAAAGAAAGAAAATGAATTATATAATATATTTTGGGGAGAAAATAAAAAAGAAAAAAAGTGTTTGAACGAATTAGACTTATAAGAGAAAGAATGAGAGAATAGAGTAAATAAAAAACAAAAAGAAGTGCCAGAACAAATTAGTCGCATGGAAGGATGAGAGAAATAAATGGAATGAATTATGTAAATATATTTTAGGGAGAAAATGAGAAAAAAAAAGTGTCGACTAGCTGTCCGAATTGGTCGGATTGAAGGATGAGAGAAAGAAAGAAAATAAGAAATAAAGTGACAGACCGAATTGGTCGGATGGAAGGATGAGAGAAAGAACGAGAATGAATTAAATAAATATATTTTAGAGAGAAAATGAGAAAAAAAAAAAAGAAATGTTGACTGAATAATTCTTACGAAAGAGAATGAGAGGAGAGAGAACGAGAGAAGAAAAAGAAAAAAAGAAAATTAACTGACCGAATTGGTCGTATAGAATAATGAAAGAAAGAAAAAATAAATAAATTACATTGTTACGTATGAAATTTAGAATTAGGTTAAAAAGCCCAAGGTAAAAGAAAAATGGGCCTAGCAATCGAGTTGATCGAAATGGCCGAGGGACACTGTAGGAAACTCAGGAAAAATGGATATTTTTCTAAGGGAATAGCGGGTCGGAAAGTCCGCAGGTTGGGAGGTCCGCAGGTAGGAAGGTCCTCAGGTCGGAAAGTCCTCAGGATGGAAAGTCCTCAGGTCGGAAGTTCCTCAGGTTGGGAGGTCCTCAGGACGAAAAGTCCTCAGGTCGGGAGTTCCTCAGGTCGGGAGGTCCTCAGGTCGGAAAGTCCTCAGGTTGGGAGTTCTTCAGGTCGGGAGGTCCTCCGGTCGGAAAGTCCTCGGGACGGAAAGTCCGCAGGTCGGATGGTCTTAAAGTCGGGAGGTCTGCAGCTAGACCAACGAGTCAGGTGGTCTTTAAGTCGGGAGGTTTGCGACTGGACCAATAAGTCGGGTGATCTTTAAGTCGAGAGGTCTGCGACTAGACCAACAAGTCGGATGGTCTTTAAGTCGGGAGGTCTGCGGCTGGACTAAATGAGTCGGGTGGTCTATAGTTCGGGAGGTCTGCAGTTGGATCAATAAGGCGGAAGATTTGCGGTCGGGCCAAAGGGGCGGAAAATCTGCGGTCGGTTCAGGAAGTTAGACTCTGTTGAGAGTAAGTAAGAATGATATTGTGGTCGGTTGAGGACACGTGTCAGCAAGAGAAGGGTTGGCAGACGGTTGAATAAGAGACTTTGTAACTGTTCGGGCGACGGTTTCCAGTACTATTTCTAAAGGAGTATTTAAGGATTTGGATTTTTCTGGAGAATATTATCTTCAATCAACTTCAACAAAGCAAAGTTAGATTTGGGGATCACCACTTTAAATTTCCAGTATTTTAATTTCCAGTTTAATTTCTTGTGTACCGTACAGTGTTTAGAGATTCCTAATCTCAGAGGCTAATTAATCAAGTTTAAAGATATTTTTCATATCTTTGAATTTTACTTTTTTGTTTGTTGAAAAAATACATCAACAAATTGGCGACCACAGTGGGAGAAAGGCAAGATTGCTAATCCTACATTACCAGAGAATTTCATACGATTGAGGTCTGGCCGAATCATCAGAAGGATCAACATGGC